TAAGACAGAGAGAGTCTCGTTCCAAGCTGCTGACTTTGCCTCATCTCGGAATCACGAACGGTGTCAGGAACGGACTTAACCCTCCACGCCAGACATCAACAGAGGGGACCCCGACTGGCACAAGGGCGCAGGAGTTGTGGATTTTTCTAGAAGAACGCCAAACTTGCTGCTTTTTCTAGAAGGGCATGAGACTTTATTTTTTTTCATTTTCTCTTCCATTTATTATTACCAATATAATAATTTATTATTACTTAATAAGCATTCATATTTAGGCAAATTGCTGTTATTGAGCCTCCTCTGAATTATATTTACCCGAATTGGAAAAGAACCACTTGGATACACACTGTGATCTAAGAAACTCAGGTGCGACATCGATTGGACAAAACTGCTCTGTGTGTCCAAAGGCATTGTTTGAAAAATGAAAGAACTGTGCCTCTAAGAGATTCAGAGGCTTTGATAATTTCTCAAAAAATCTACAGCTTGTATCGTGTATTGGGGCAGCCGCCAGAGGGTGACACTATATCAATTTAAATACAAGACGGGGATTGGGGTGTGGGGGAGAGAGACAGCGAGATAAAGAGACAGACTCTGAGCCTTTAATTCATTCTTTCATTCAAACGTCCCTCCAAGACAAAGTAAGTCTCATTGCTGCCAGAGATACACGCAGAGACATGCAGAGACATATATACGCAGGGAGACACACTTATGGAATCACACATCGTCATTACCATCAGCATTGTATCATTTTAAACACAAGAGAGACAGGCAATGAGAAAGGGAGAGTGACTTAAACTCTATATCTATAGAGTCACCCCCAAAACTACAGAAAGCCCATTGCATAGAGACACAGGCACATACTCTTTGCATCACTTTTCAATTTTTCTCTCTGATGTTTCCTTATTCATCAGTCTTTCTTTGCCTCCCCAATGTTTGCCCCACGAAATGTTAACCCGAATTTTCGCCCCCCAAATATTGCCTTCCCATTTCACTCACTTTCAAAATTATCCAAACGGCTCCCCCCCCCCCACCCGATTTGTTCTCCTCCAAAGGGAGTAAAAGAATAAAGGGAAGACCTATGAGAACAGAGATAAGGAGAAACTTCTTCAGTAAGAGAGTAGTGAATCTATGGAACTCACTGCCACAGAAGGCTGTGGAGGCCAGGCCATTGAGTACTCTTAAGACTGAGATAAAAAGTCTCTTGATTACTAAGGGGATCAAGGGTTACGGGGAGAAAGCTGGAGAATGGGGTTGAGGAACTTATCAAACATGATTGAATGGCGGAGCAGACTCGATTGGCCAAATGGCCCAATTTTTGCTCCTATGTCTTATGTTCTTAAAATATATCCCTCAAAATTTCACCCGCAAAATTTTGCCCTATTTCCAGTTTTGACACCGAACCCCAAATTTGTGACCTCCAAGTATTTGCATCGCTGCCACCACCCAGTTTGAAAGACCAAGCTGATTTAGCACCACAAGCTGTGTAGGGTCCCATAGCTGCATCCTACACTTTCAGCCAGAATGATTTTTCCAAACTGACAGATTCTGGGTGTTCTTGTTTTGCTTTCTTGCATATTTAGATTGCAGGACGGCACATCCAACAATGAGGGGTAAACCTGGTGAAGCTACCAAACAAGATGACTACATGACAAACAGTACAGGCAGCAAGTGATGGACACGACTAAGCGATCTCACAAAGGCCCAAAGAACAGATCATAGTCCAGCATAGGAACAGACCCTTTGGCCCAACGTGACTTAACCGACAAATGCTTTTCTAAACTAAAAATCTTTTGTTTCTACGTGGTCCATTTTCCTTTAATCCCTGCCACTTTCAGGCAACCGTGGGCATATACGCCAACATCCCTGTGCAAGTTGATACTTCTAATATTTCTTCTATTTATAGTAAACTTCCCTCCGGCATTTAGCCTTCCAATTTGCTCACACAAACACAATTACACGCACACTCATAGGGATGGTTACACAATCTCAGATAATTACACCCACGCTCACTCACCCACTGACACTTGTACACATACACACAAAATCAGACAACTCCACTCACACTCATTGACATTCGCTGCGGGACTGACGTCAAAAAAGAGGCACAGAATCATAACACGAATATGTATGCACCGCATTTTTATTGATGAAATTCAATTTAAATTGTACATCATCAGTTACAGAAAGATTTCCAGTTCATCAAGAATATGGCGATGAAGGGAATATTTTCGGATGATATATGGCAAAAAAGCAGCATGGCCAATGGTTTGACTCGAGAAGATTCCGACACTCCTTCCCAGGCTATGAAAATGCAAAGCAATTACACATAGAATTCCTTAAAATATTTATTTGATAAACGATAGGGACGTCGGCCCCAACGCAGAGTCAATTAATCCACACAGAGAAATGAATTACATGATTAATACAAATAATAAAATGACCTTGATACACATTGTTTACTTTTTAACTAATTACAACACACAATCAAATAAATGACAGCACGAATACTAATATAGTTAGTTCAATTAAAAAAAAAAGCTAAATGCTGATCCATTCCAATCAAGTACATCAGATAGTGAGAAGAATATTGAACATTTTGGAACTGATAGTGGACGACGTCTCACAATATTATCCGCCTCGGGGTGTCTCATGTTGAAATAGACTCACATTTACCTGAAATGATAAAGAAAGTAGTTTGAGTTTGCTTGAGGTGATGTCACCTGTGTTCTATTTATAGCACATGAACCTATCAATCCCCAGATGAAGCTCTCACTCCAGGGATTGGGGATTAAGATTAAATTTGTCTCTGCAATGTCAGTCTGATGAAGGTCAATATTTCAAAGGGGACATTGAGGCGTGTCTCTGTCTGCGTTCTCAGTCAGATGTAAAGGACAGCCTGGAATGTATGCCGAAGTGTAGCAGAGCAGTGGGAAGCTGGGGGTACCTCGGCCAATGTTTATTTTACAACCAGGAATCTCACTAAACATATTAAACAGTAATTTTCTTGTTCTGATTTGCAGGGTTTCACTGTGCACATGCTGGCTGTGCCTCATCCTAAATTACAGCAGAGAGGATATTTCCAAAAGTATATGATTGGCCATGCATGTTTTTGCACGTCGGATGGTCGTAGAAAGAGTAACGCAAAAAAAGTCTATGATTTCGTTTGCTCTGATAAAACAACCCAAAGGACTCTGTGACGCAAAAATGTGTTGTTTTCCTCATTAATTAGAAAATTACCATAACATGTATCAATTACTTTAACTGATAAATAAACGCCATGCTTACTGGGATGATTTTCGACACAACATAATGCTCAGTATATTTCACAATTCTACAAAATGCCAGGGCATTCCAATCTCTCCTCTGTATCAAAAACACTGGAAAGAATTGAAAAGATGGTTCTTAGTGACTTGATGAGTTTGCTGTAAAATATTGTATCACACTTTCACTAGTGATGCCCTGACCTGAGATGATTCAAATAATATTTGGCTCCTTTGAGTTCTGCTCTGGAATGTTGGTATTGCTGGTGTGGCGTTCAGGAGGATAATATAGCCATGTCAAAGGCTGTATTGTAGAGACATATAGTCAAATAATACAGAAAAGGCACTATGGCCCACCGTGTGTGCTGCCAAAAGATGTGCTACTACCTATATATGTCTCACATTCCTGCACCACGACCATTGCTTTCAAAACTATAACACTTCAAGTGTACATGCAAGTATGCTTTAAAAGTTTTCAGGTATCCCGCCTTAGCAACCTCATACTCACTGCATCCAGATACACACCACTGTCTGAGTATTGGTGTTTTTCCACATATCCCCTCTAAACCTCCTGCCTTTCTATTTTAAGTTATGTCCAACTTCGTGTTGACCCTTCAGTCAGGTTGATTATAATTTTCACAATCGCTTATTATTTCATTTGTTAACTTGGTAAGATATATCCAAATATTGAAAATGTTGGGGACAATAAGGACTTCTATTGCTTGAACCCAGAATCTATACGCGTGAGGCTGTAAAACCATAGCAGGGCAGACAGCATCCGAGGAGCAGGAAAGTCAACATTTCAGCCGGAAACACTTTGTCGGACTGACGAAGGATTTTGCCCAAAACACTGACTTTCCCGTTCCTCGGGTGCTATCTGACCTGCCATGTTTTTTCCAGACTCACACCATTGTAAAAGTTGGAACGATAACTAGAGAGATCGAACGAGGACACCAATGAGTTACAGGGAATTATGGTGTTCAAGTTAGTGAGACACATCCCCCCCTCAGCATTTGGTAAGGGTGCACTTACACAGAGCAACTACATCAAACCAAACTCTCCTTGTATTTTTCAAATAAAGATTCACAGAGTTTGTCTTCCCACTGAGCATCAAGAACTGCAGCATTTAAAACACGGAGCACTTAAAACTCCACCTTCAACATTTTTCATCCAGTTATTTGGTGATTCATTGAAACATTAGAATTGTAGGTTTGTAACCTCACAATTGGGTAATGATAGTGTCGGTTGCTTAAAGAGCTGACAAAACACAAAGTCCAAACAATATCGGTCTTTTTTTGGCCATTCTTCATGGTATTTATATGAAGATCCTTCTCCCTTTTAACAGTTCTTTCTGAATAACAGTTGGTGCAGAAAAGACTCTAATAGTTTTGAATGATGCTCTTAGATTTTCAGTAAATACCATATTGATCACAGAATAGAAACGAACTGAGGCAATGTGTATGCACAGAGTAAAGAGCAAAAGAACTGTGCATGCAATTCAGGAACAAAAATAGAAGTTGCTGGAAAAGCTCAGCAGGTCTGGCAGCATCTATGAAGAAAAATCGGAGATAATGCGTTGGGTCCGGTGACCCTTCCACAGAACACTTCCTTGGAACCGAAACATTAACTCGGTTTTCCTTCACATATGCTGCCAGAACTGCTGCTCTTTACAAGCAACTTCTGTTTTCGTTTGTGACTACACAGAGCGCTGGATAAGATGACAGTAACTGCAATTCAACTCACCAAGTGAGCAAAGACCACAACCAACATTTGTCAGCGTGAGGGCTTCATCAGAATCCCTGTCCAATTCTGGCTGGTCATCCTGAGATTCAGTCTCAGTACTATCGTCATCGCGATGAATTGGACCTTGGATGAAGAATATGATCATCACTGATGCAAATTGTAGCACAAAACACCAAGAGGTAGAAAAGGACATTCGTGGTGGGATATAACATTAATGCTGGAACGTGGAATTCGAAGACTTAGGTGGTTCAGAGGACCTCAGCGGTCGCAGTATATGCAGAGATGAACAGAAAGTTAGGTCTATTTTCTCTCTAAATTCGATAGCTAAGCAAAATCTTTAAGGTAATAACTTTAAACAAAAGAACAGATGAAGATGAATGACCTCCAATTGTTGGAGATACTAGATCTCGGGGCATGATTTATGATATATCTACAGGCAGTTCGGAAGAAATGGAAGAAGAATGGCTGAGAGAGATTTGGAATTATCTTCCTCACAAAGCAATTGATGTCAGATTATTTCTCAAACTTAAATTTGAGACAGATTATAATTTTCAGTCGTCAAAGCTATTAAGGGATATGGGCCAAAGGGAGGTATCTGGATTTCAGCCACACAACAGACAGCCATGATCTCATTAAGTTGTAGAACAGGCTCGAGCAGCTGAATGGATTACTCTTGTCCCTTCTTTTTCCTTCCTTTTTCTTTGTAGCTGAGGACTCTGAGCGATGGACAGGATTAAGCTGCATGAAATTATCAAGGACATAAGTGGAGTAGACAGGAAGGAACATTTCCATTTGGTGCAGAAATCAAAGATCAGTGGCATAAGTTACAAGGGAAGGAAGGGAGAATCAAAGAAGGTGTGAGGAAAATTATTTTCAATCGAAAGCCGTTGAGAATCTGGAATTCATGCCTGTCAGGGTGCTAGAGGAAAAACAGGCTTCTGTTGCGATGCCAAGCCGTACAAGGCCATGGATCATGTGCTTGTAAATGGGATTAGAATAGCAAGTTGGCTGTTTTTGACAGGTCATGTCCATCACCACGTGATAACAACCAGCAACTTTCTTTTTAAATGACACCGCTCACGAAACAGCAGGGGTAACACTGCAATTTTGTCTTGTGAATGTTGATAACTTTATCTTTGGACTGCAGAGAGAATGAATGACAAAAGTGAGCTGACAGAAAGTGAACACATACACACCCGGAATACTATTGGATGTCACCCCTGGATTTTCTGATCCCAGATTATTGTCACTCAGCTTTTGGCTGGTGTCACATTCGAAGCGATCGAGTAAGTCAATGGAAGTAGAAATTACTGAAAACAAAAATGGAAAGTTATTTTCAAGTTTAGTCTCTCCATGAAGACACAACCCTGAGAACTTTAACAGAAGAAATTTCTACAGCTGGAGGGTGGTGAATTTGTGGATCTCATTGACACAGAAGACTGTGGAGGTTGAGTCATTTAATGTCTTTAGTACAAAAATAGGTACCTCTTTTCTGAGCAAGAAGATAAAACGTTCCTGAGGGAAGGCAGGAGACAAAAGTTAAGAAACAAATTAACCTTAATCGAATGCGGAGCAGATTTGATGGGCCAAATGATGTAATGCTGCTCCTGCATATCGTAGCGTTATGGAATATGGGTTGACGTTTTATGATCTTAATTGGAGCGTTGAAACAGAACGCATTATTCTTTCATCGTCTCTGTAGCAAAAGTTGCAATATTGTCAATAGAAACTCTTTGTGGAAAGTGTTCGATACACAGATTGCAGCAGTTGAAGGTAAGTGAAATGCAGCATGACTGCGATGAGAGATAGGAAACAAACTTCAGTCCTCACATCGAACAGTAAGTTTAATGGTGTAATTCGTAATCCTTACCTTCGTTCAGAGTGTACGATGAAATGAATTGAATACCTTCGGATTCCTCAGCAACTCCCTTAATTGTGTCTGATTCGTCTTTATGTGTTCTTATTTCGTTGACACAAAGCACATTTCTTGAATCTATTAAATGTCAATTACACGTTTCTGATTATTATTGTGTAACATTCTTTGAGAATGCTTTCCTTTAATTTCTTTTCGAGTGACATTTTCAGTTCGAAAACTTAGTCAATCATTTCAATTATGACCATGTAATGTTCCTTCCCATTTTTATAGTAACGTTACTGTATGGCAACATCATAACCTCTAGTTGTTTCCATAATCCCATTCTCTATCTGATTTCACTCGATCCCCATTGTCAGGTTCGGAAGGCAATCCTCACCGTTGGGATTCTTGCACTATTGGTCGCCTGGAATTGTATCACTATTTTAGATACGTATCCGTGTATCCACCGTTAGCATATTATCAGGCAAGTAACATTATAGAAGTGGAACATCTCGTCTTAGTGAAAGTTTGTATCTCGGATTGTGGTTGTATTTGTTTATTAGCACACCAAGCCAGTTGTTTCATGATGTGTTTCAGAGGCGGGAGTTTCAGTATTTCAGTATTTCACTATAAAAGTCTTACCTCGCGTGACTGCGGCGTCTCAATTGTTTCAGCGGCGGAAGTCCGGGGGGAAGCGCGAGGGCAGCCTGGGAAGATAAGTTACTCCTTCAAAAACTTACCTCGTGAATAGACGGAGTGCACGCTAAGGAGGAGCGGACACGGGACTGCTGAGTAAGTAGGATAATATATTTGGGCGGTTGCTTTACCCGAAAGACTACTTAGGTAGTGTCTCCCACCCATCCTCCTCCTCTAACCAAAAAAAATGTTCTGAGCGCCGATTTGTTAAGGTTACTAGTTTTTTTTTTCAATAGTCTGTTTGGGAATACAGAACAGTGGGAATGGATGTTAGGGCAGTTGCATGCTCCTCCTGTAGAATGTGCGAGGTAAGGGTCACCACTAGTGTCCCCACTGACTTCATCTGTGGGAAGTGCACCCAACTCCAACTCCTCAGAAACCGTGTTAGGGAACTGGACCTAGAGCTGGATGAACTTCGGATCATTCGGGAGGCTGAGGGAGAAATTGAGAGGAGTTACAGGGAGGTAGTCACACCTCAGGTACAGGAAAAAGGTAGATGGATTACAGTCAGGGGACGGAAAGGGAACAGGCAGACAGAGCAGGGATCCCCTGTGGACATTCCCCTCAATAACAAGTATACTGTTTTGGATACTGTTGGGGGGGGGGACGACTTACCAGGGGTAGGCCATGGGGTACAGGTCTCTGGCACAGAGTCTGTCCCTGTTGCTCAGAAGGGAAGGGGGGAAGAGGAGGAGAGCATTAGTCATTGGGAACTCCATAGTTAGGGGGACAGATAGGAGATGCTGTGGGAACGAGAGAGACTCGTGATTGGTGTGTTGCCTCCCAGGTGACAGGGTCCGTGATGTCTTGGATCGTGTTTTCGGGATCCTTAAGGGGGAAGGGGAGCAGCTGCAAGTCGTGGTCCACGTAGGCACCAACGACATAGGTAGGAAGAGGGATGGGGATGTAAGGCAGAAATTCACGGAGCGAGGGTGGAAACTTAGAGCTAGAACAAACAGAGTTGTTATCTCTGGTTTGTTACCCGTGCCACGTGCTAGCGAGGCGAGGAATAGGGAGAGAGAACAGTTGAACACGTGGCTACAGGGATGGTGCAGGAGGGAGGGATTCAGATACCTGGATAATTGGGGCTTATTCTGGGGTAGGTGGGACCTCTACAAACGGGATGGTCTACACCTGAACCAGAGGGGTACCAATATCCTGGGGGGGAAATTTGCTAATGCTCTTCGGGAGGGTTTAAACTAATTCAGCAGGGGGATGAGAACCTGAATTGCAGCTCCAGTGCACAGGAGGTTGAGAGTAGTGAGCCCATGAATAAGGTTTCAAGGTCGCAGGAGTGTACCGGCCGGCAGGAAGGTGGTTTGAAGTGTGTCTACGTCAACGCCAGGAGCATCCGGAATAAGGTGGGTGAACTTGCAGCATGGGTTGGTACCTGGGACTTCGATGTTGTGGTCATTTCGGAGACATTGATAGAGCAGGGACAGGAATGGTTGTTGTGGGTTCCGGGGTTTAGATGTTTCAGCAAGATCAGGGAAGGTGGTAAAAGAGGGGGAGGTGTGGAATTGTTAGTCAAGGACAGTATTACGGTGGCAGAAGGGACGTTTGATGAGGACTTGACCACTGAGGTAGTATGTGCTGAGGTTAGAAACAGAAAAGGAGAGGTCACCCTGTTGGGAGTTTTCTATAGACCTCCGAAAAGTTCCAGAGATGTAAAGGAAAGGATTGCAAAGATGATTCTGGACAGGAGCGAAAGTAACAGGGTAGTTGTTATGGGGGACTTTAACTTTCCAAATATTGACTGGAAACGCTATAGTTTGAGTACTTTAAATGGGTCAGTTTTTGTCCAAAGTGTGCAGGAGGGTTTCCTGACACAGTATGTAGATAGGCAAACAAGAGGCGAGGCCACATTGGATTTGGTACTGGGTAATGAACCAGGCCAGGAGTTAGATTTGGAAGTAGGTGAGCACTTTGGTGATAGTGACCACAATTTGGTTACGTTTACTTTAGCGATGGAAAGGGATAGGTATATACCGCAGGGTAAGAGTTATAGCTGGGGGAAAGGCAATTATGAGGCGATTCGGCAAGATTTAGGATGCATAGGATGGAGAAGGAAACTGCAGGGGCTGAGTACAACTGAAATGTGGACCTTGTTCAAGGAACAGCTACTGTGTGTCCTTGATAAGTATGTACATGTCAGGCAGGGAGGAAGTAGTCGAGAGAGGGAACCATGGTTTACTAAATAAGTTGAATCTATTGTCAAGAGGAAGAAGGAGCCTTATGTAGAGACGAGGCGTGAAGGCTCAGTCAGGGCGCTTGAGAGTTACAAGTTAGCCAGGAAGGACCTAAAGAGATAGCTAAGAAGAGCCAGGAGGGGACATGAGAAGTCTTTAGCAGGTTGGATCAAGGAAAACCCTAAAGCTTTCTATAGGTATGTCAGGAATAAAAGAATGACGAGAGTAAGATTCGGGCCAGTTAAGGACAATAGTGGGAAGTTGTGCATGGAGCCCGAAGAGATAGCAGAGGCGCTAAATGAATATTTTTCATCAGTATTCACACAGGAAAAAGACAATGTTGTCGAGGAGAATACTGAGATACACGCTATTAGACTAGACGGGATTGAGGTTCATAAGGAGGAGGTGTTAGCAATTCTGGAAGGTGTGAAAATAGATATGTCCCCTGGGCCAGATGGGATTTATCCTAGGATTCTCTGGGAAGCTAGGGAGGAGATTGCAGAGCCTTTGGATTTGATCTTTATCTCGTCATTTTCGACAGGAATAGTGCCAGAAGACTGGAGGATAGTAAATGTTGTCCCCTTATTCAAGAAGGGGAGTAGAGACAACCCTGGTAATTATATACCAGTGAGCCTTACTGCGGTTGTGGTAAAGTGTTGGAAAGGATTATAAGAGATAGGATTTATAATCATGTAGAATAATTGAATAAAGGAATAATTTGATTGGGGACAGTCAACACGGTTTTGTGAATGGTAGGTCGTGCCTCACAAGCATTATTGACTTCTTTGAGAAGGTGACCAAACAGGTGGATGAGGGTAAAGCAGTTGATGTGGTGTATATGGATTTCAGTAAAGCGTTTGATAAGATTCCCCACGGGAGGCTATTGCAGAAAATACGGAGGCATGGGATTGAGGGTGATTTAGTGGTCTGGATCAGAAATTGTCTAGCTGTAAGAAGACAGTGGGTGGTGGTTGAAGAGAAATGTTCATCCTGGAGTTCAGTTACTAGTGGTGTACAGCAAGGATCTGTTTTGGGGCCACTGCTGTTTGTCATTTTTATAAATGACCCGGATGAGGGCGTAGAAGGATGGGTTAGTAAATTTGCGGATGACACTAAAGTCGATGCAGTTGTGGATAGTGCGGAAGGATGTTGTAGGTTGCAGAGGGACATAGATAAGCTGCAGAGCTGGGCTGAGAGGTGGAAAATGGAGTTTAAAACGGAAAAGTGTGAGGTGATTCACTTTGGAAGGAATAACAGGAATACAGAGTACTGGGCTAATGGTAAGATTCTTGGTCGTGTGGATGAGCAGAGAGATCTCGGTGTCCATGTGCATAGATCCCTGAAAGTTGCCACCCAGGTTGATAGGGTTGTTAAGAAGGCAGACGGTGTGTTAGGTTTTATTGTTAGAGAGATTGAGTTTCGGAGCCATGAGGTCATGTTGTAGCTGTACAAAACTCTGGTGCGGCCGCACTTGAAGTATTGCATACAGTTCTGGTCACCGCATTATAGGAAGGATGTGGAAGCTTTGGAAAGGGTGCAGAGGAGATTTACCAGGATGTTGCCTGGTATGGAGGGAAGGTCTTATGAGGAAAGGCTGAGGGCCTTGAGGCTGTTTTCGTTAGAGAGAAGAAGGTTAAGAGGTGACTTAATAGAGACATACAAGATGACCAGAGGATTAGATAGGGTGGACAGTGAGAGCCTTTTTCCTCGGATGGAGATGGCTAGCACGAGGGGACATAGCTTTAAATTGAGGGGTGATAGATATAGGACAGATGTCAGAGGTAGGTTCTTTCCCCAGAGAGTAGTAAGGGCGTGGAATGCCCTGTCTGCAACAGTAGTAGGCTCGCCAACTTTAAGGGCATTTAAATGGTCATTGGATAAACATATGGATGATAATGGAATAGTGTAGGTGAGATGGGCTTCAGATTGGTTTCACAGGTCGGCGCAACATCGAGGGCCGAAGGGCCTGTACTGCGCTGTAATGTTCTATGTTCTATGCAGACGTTTCATCATCATTATAGGCACATCATCAGTGCGACCTCTCATTGAAGTGTTGGTGTTCTGCTCCGTTTTGAATTTATATGATCCTCTGGTGTGGTGGGTCTTGTCACTTCTGGTTCTGTTTATTTTAGCAGCAGTTTGTATAAGGAATCTATTTCTATGTGTTTTTTCATGGAGTGCCGTGATGGGAGCCGGGCTTCCAGAAATTCCCGTGCATGTCTGTCGTTCGCATGTCATAGTATGTTCACTTTGCTCCAGTCGAACTGATGGCCCTCGTTGTCTGTGTGTATCGAGGCAAGTGAATGATGGCCTTGTCTTTTTACTGCCAGATGCTGGTCACGTATCCTGGTTGTCAGTTTCCTCCCCGTTTATCCAATGTAATATCTATTGCATTCCATGTATGGGTTACTTCATAACACGTTAGTCCTGTTTGCTGTCAGTATGGGGTGTTTAGTCTTTGATAGCATTTGAAGCAGTGATGATGTAGGTTTGTGTGCAATCATGATCTTATGCGGCCTAAGGAGTCTGGTTGTCATTTCTGATATATTTTTGTTGTAGGGTATTTTTGTTGTTCCTAGTGTCTTCTGTTGTACCGTGTCCTCCTACTGTCGTTTGATTTGTAGGTATCGGCGGACAAAAATCTTTGAGTATCTGTTGTCAGAAAATAATTTGTGTAGGTGTTCCTCTTCCATTCTCCGGTCTGGGATGTTGCAGTGTGATATGGCTTATGTAAATAGTGTCTTAATACAACTCTATTGGCGTATGATGGGGTGGTAGCTATTGAAGTTCATAACTTGGTCCATGTGTGTCGCCTTCCTGTATACTCCAGTCCGGAATTATCCATTAGTTCGTCTCTGTCTACCATTAGTCCTAAGAACGGGAGCTGTTTGTTGTTTCCTTCCTCTCTCCTGAATTTTACGTTAACGAGATTGTGGGTTTATTCTACTTTTTTGCGTTTGGTTACTACAAATGTATCATTCACAGTTATTATCCACAGTTGCTGTTGGATTGTAGGAAGGGCTGTGTTTTCCAGTCTCTACATCACTGCTTCCACGATGAGACCTGAGATGGGTGACCCCAACGGTGTGCAGTTGATCTGTTTATATATTTGGCCATTGAACGTGAAGTGCGTTCTAAGGCATAAATCTAATAGTTTCAAAATAGTTTAAGTAAGCTGTGTCCTTGCTGACATTGTTGCTGGTGTTCAGAGTCAGTGTTCCTGGTCCTTCTGGTAGTGTGGCTAGTGTCTCTCTGGCTAACGGTTTGTAAATGGACGTAACTAATGCTGTAACATCGAAGGAGATTATGATTTTGTCGTCAGCAATTTTTGGGTCCCTGGACTGTGTGAGAAATTCTTGAGCCGAATGGATACACACAAATAATGAGGGCTATCAGTTCGACTGGGACCAAGGGACTGTACAAGGACAAGTGAAGAACACACATGCAAGAGTCTTTCTGGAAGCCTGGTTCTCAACATGGGATTCCATCAACAAACACATAGAAATAGAACCCGGACCACTGCTAAAAAAGAAAACAGAACCGGAAATGGCAGAGGGTCATGTAAATTCGGAACGGAGAAGAAAACCAATGCCTCGATTAGAGGTCGCACTGATGATGTTGCCTAGAATGGTAACGAAACGTCTGCACACCACGGAACAACCGGTTTGGCGAGCTGACGAGCAACTAAAACATTTCGTATTATTATTTACACTAGATATTCGAACTCGTGTCGGCACGATGGGCCAAAGGGCTTCTGTCTGCACTGCTTACATATTTGTGATTTTTCATATTTATTTGCATATTAATTCCTCAGTCTCTCTTCCACCATTAGGTGTTCTGTAACCGAGAGTCGTGAAAAGATTTTATTATTGTGCAATTAGTCAGTGAATGGGTGTATTGATATGATATCTGAATCAATCAGAATGGAACCAGGGTCGAATTGGAAAGGGCAGTTCTGTTTGTGCTTACAAACAAATGTCAGAAGTAATCTTTCAAAAATGAAGGGCATGGGAATTCTCAAAATGTCATTCTTCCTCTCTCTGATCACAGGTTGACATTCATTCACTATGATAGCTTCCTTTTGACAAGGACAGTGATTTATTAATTACCCATGTGCAATCAGTTCACTGATCATTGAAATTGAAGGAAAGCCATACTTATCCACTCACGACTCACTATGAAGGAGGACGTATATACCTGGTCTATGTTTCTGACCCGTCTTCTTGCCAGAGGGAGTATTCCTAATTTCTTCATAAATTCCTTGGTACAAACCAAGAATTGAGACTCTTCCACCTGCTTTAACATCTGTTGAAGTAAGGATAGACTGGTTCAGCATTTGTAGCTGAACACTTAGAGGAACACTGAGTTTATTTCTGAAGCAACACTAGCCCTGAGCACTTGTAGTTCAAGCAATACAGGACTATTGGCACAACATTGACTGATCACCGAGGGCAGCACCAGTTCGGAAAAGCACGTGAACAGGCTGTGATTAATTGTCTTGCTTCATCAGTAAGAAAAACTTATAATGTTAAACATAGAGAGTGAGATATTTTTGTTTGGGATGCGTGCTGCTAGTTCAGTTTGAATGGGGAATCATCATTCCAGATGCAAATGTCTATTCAGAAAATTCTCAGCTGACAATAGTGCATGTGAGTGAAAATGCTGACTGAAGAAATTGAAACTGCTGACTAGAATGAACAAAGAAAAGCATCAAAATATATGGACAAAAAGAAAGAAATCCTGGTGGCCATGAGGAGGTTAAAATGATCACGATACGTCCACAGTCGAATGAAAAGATCATGTTGACATAACAATAATGTCAATGGAATTTGAATATTGGAATTAGAAACTTTTATACTTGTTATAATCAGTTGAATACAATAATGTGAGACAAATGAAATTAGGACAACCTTATTGGCATTGATAATCATGAACTAAGGGCTCCCTTTTGATGGATACATATAATCTCACGTCAAGTCAACTTCGAAGGTACAGGAACTGACGTATTTACATCATTCGTGTTGATCATCATTGCCACCTAGTGGAAAACAGCTCTCAGGCAAATGCTTTTAAATCACTGTAAAAAGGTTAAGAAGTCTACTCTTCTCAGTCAAGGGAACCCAAATGTTAAATAAAGAAATGTTCCCTTAAAGTGCAAATTCATTCTCTCAACGAACTTGAGTTCTGGCATCAGTACCCAGAAACTGAAGAATCGTAAATCAAAACTAGCTGGTGCACAAATAATTAGACGCAGCGGGAAAACATCTCAATGAAACATAAAGACACATTGCTACAATCAATATCTTCTGTATTCTGAGTGTCCTTTACAGACTACTTAAAGATAAGAAATATTGAGTCTTGAAATATCTTTCACATTGATAATGATTTCGGATAATGGCTGCGTTAAAGGCCAATTCTATTTTTCTCTACTGGTATTGAGGGACTTGATGAATATTTGACGTAATTTTGATCTACTTATAAATCATATTTGTCGTATTTAAATACTTTATCTTTGCGTCAATTTAAATGTTGTGTTTTAATAGGTAGAGCCTCTTGAGGAAAACAAATAGACAGAAAGAGCCTCACATTCATCACCATCAAGTCTAAGCGATGCAAACGTGCAACAATAATCTACAGCTCCGCCAGCATATGGAACAAAAACAGCTACACAGTGTAAGCTCATTTGGTAAATCTGAGGCTCACCTTTTACTTGTAATTTTCTCTGCATTACAAGCAGTAGTGCAAGCAAGTCACATATTAACAGAACTCCCAAGGTTAGGCACACGACACCGGGTATGGAAATAGATGTACTTTCCTGTTCTTAAAGAAAGAATTGAAGAAAGATTTAGTCTGGTTACGAGTTGCCTTGTAGAGCCTTTACGAATCCTTCGAACAGAAAACACTGACAATATCTTCAAAATCATTAAAATACCAACAACATCAATGTCATTAATCAGGAACGTAACGCTAACACAAACATTAATAATAGTATCAATCATAAATACCCGTATGTGGAGGTGATGGTGAAGTCGGCAACAGCTCGAATCCTATGGAAGAGATTGCACAAATATTCATGAAGGTGAAATTTAAAGTAGGAAGACAAATTTTGGGTCGAGTTTGAGACATTAATTATCACCGATCGGCACCAGTCAGCATTGCCCTTACCAGAACAGATCACACTGGCAAATTCCTTAGGATTACACTCCCTTTGAGCTAGTGCTGGGGAGAGACAGTCAGACAGATAGGATTCACTTCCCTTACACTTCACATCATTCTGCCAGATCACACCTTTACCCTGGGAGACAGCGGGCCCTCCTTGGGCCGATACAGCGAAACCACATCTCAGTTGTCTACAGACAACATTGGCATCAGTTATATCCCAGGAATCACCACACAACGTGCCCCAGCGTACATCGCACATGATCTCCACTCTCCCAGAACAGTTGCTGCTCCCTCCATCCAGGCGCACGCTATGTTGTGAATCTGTGGCAGAAAACGGATTATAAATGAATGCAGTACAAAGCAGCAATGTTATTGAGAACATCATTCTGAGTGCTGGCACATTCATGATGAGGACGCACCTGGCTGTTGTTGGCAGAAATTTGAACTGAGCGGCTGTTCCTTCCTGACATCGCTCTCTGTTAAGAGGACAAACATGCTGATTCTATTGGAAATTAATGTCTGAAATGAAAACCAAACATTGGGGAGGTTTGTCGTGTTACCTGAACAAATAACACCGGCATCTTCCCTATGCTCACAGTTGTGTTGACCCCACGGTTCTGTCTGACATTCCCACAGGGTCGTCTCGTGTGACAGACAATCCACCTCATCTAGCCAAATAGGTCCTCTTCCTGCTCCAAATAACCGAGTATAATAATCAATGGATATGAGGACACCGCAGTGCAACTGTTTACAAATCACTTCTGCATCATGAATATCCAGACTTTCCGAACACACCGTTCCCCAGGTCCCATTGTAGAACACTTCCACTCTCCCCTCACAGCGATGCTTTCCATTCACCAGCCGCATCTCCTTGTGCTCTGTTCATGCAATAACAGACAGCCAGATTGATAGATTGTTTATGTCTTCGGTACATAGCTGTGATTGTCCCTGACATTCAACTCAGGTCTTGAAAAAAAAAAATGATACTTGAGATACCTTATTAAACGACTGGAAGAAGTTACAGACATATGAAGTAGAAGCAGAGCAGAAGATGCAACGTTCAGAGTGTTTCAAAATACCTTCAGCAAGGTGTTACTTGAATCTTTAAAGGACTGAGTATGCAAACTTTTAGAGAAAAGAAACTAACAGCAAACAGAAAGTCTGAGGCCAAAGTAGTTTTTCAGATTTGCCAAAGAGTAGAAGTGGTAATCTGCTGGAAATGGGGTAGATCTCATAAAAACCGGAAGAACTGCGGATGCTGTAAATCAGGAACAAAAACAAAGTTGCTGAAAAAGCTCAGCAGGTCTGGCAGCATCTGTGAAGTAAAAAAAAACAGAGATAACCTTTCGGGTCTGGTGACCCTTCCTCGCAACTGGTTATGGCTGGGATAACATCAGTTTATATGCAGAAAAAAGGGGAGGGTGTTGAATATAGAGTAAACGATAGAATAGAGCCTAAAGAGAGAGAAGAGCAGTTGGACAGAAAAAGAGTTGATAACGATCAGGCTTGGAGGGTGAATAGTTGTTAATGTGGACTATTAGTGACTAATAACAGGTAGTGTGTAATAGCAGGCTATGTGGTTCAAGACCTGGTGTGTGGGGTAGGGGGCTGGGACATTGGAGAGTTTAGACCCTAAAATTACCGAACTCGATATTGAGTCTGTAGAGCTGCAGGGTCCCCAAGCGGAAAATGAGGTGTTGTTCTTCTAGCTTGTGTTGAGCTTTGCTGGAACACTACAGCAAGCCAGAGACAGAGATGTTGGTCAGGGAGCAGGGTGGTGGCAGGCAACAGGTAGTTCAGGGTCTTTTTTGCGAATGGAACGTAGATATTCGGGGAAGTGATCACCTTGTCTACCCTTCGTTTCCCCAGTGTAGAAGAGACCACATTGTGAGAAGCGAATATAGTAGACCCGGTTCTGGGAAGTGCAGGAGAAGTGTTGCTGCACCTGGAAGGTATGGTTGGGCCCTTGGATACTCAGGAGGGAGGAGGTAAATGAGCAGGTGTTGCACCTTCGCTGGTTACAGGGCAAGATGCTGTCGGGCTGTGGGGAGGTGTTGGGGGGTGAAGGAAGTGTGGAACAGGGTGTCCCAGAGGGAACTGACCTGCGGAAGGCGGACAGGGAGGGGAGGGAATTACGTGTCTGGTGTTGGCATCTTGCTGGAGGTGTTGGAAATGACGCTGGATGATCTTCTGGATGTGGATGCTGGTGGGATGATAGGTAAGGACAAAGGGAACCGTGTCACTGTTGCGGGAGGGAAGAGAAGGAGTGAGAGCGGAAGTGCAGGAGATGGGTCAGACCCAGTCGAGGGCCCTGCCGTCCACGGAGCTGGGGAAACTTCGGTTGAGGAAGATTGTGGACTTTTTTGTAGGCTCCCTTGTCGAAGTTGGTCTCACCTAAACACATACAACGGAGACAAAGGAACTGAGAGAATGGGATGGAGTCTTTACAGGAACTGTGTTGTGAGGATGTATAGTTCAGGTAGCTGTGGCAACCAGTGAGTTTGTATTGGCTATCAGTGGCCAGTCCAACTCCAGAAATGGAAACAGAAATGTCGAGGAAAGGACGGGAGGAGTCATAGATAGACCGGTGAAAGTGAGGGCAGGGTGGAAATTGGAAGCGAAATTGAAAAAGCATTCCAATTTCGGACGAGAAACTGAAGCAGAACAAATGATATCATCGATTTATCGGAGAAATAGTTGTGGGTGGGGGTCGGAATAGGACTCTATATTGGGGAAATGAAGTGCAGACTAGTTAACCGCTTTGCAGAACTTCTACGTTCTGCTCGCAAGAAAAGACACTGAACTACTCGTTGCCTGCCATTTTAACTCTCCACACTGCTCCCCAACCAACAAGTGTGTCTCTGGCTTGCTGCAGTATTCTAGCGAAGCTCAACGCAAGCTAGAACAACACCTCATTTTCCGCTTGGGGATCCTGCAGCCCTACGTATTCAATATGAAGTTCAATAAGTTTAGGGCTGAAACTCTCCCAAGTCCCAGCTCCCTACCCCACATACCAGGCCTTGTTACCACATAGCCTGCCATTGCACAATACCTGTTATTAGTCGCTAATAGACCCCCTAAACAACTATTGACCCTCCTAGTTTGATCTTTAGCGACTGTTGGTCTGTCCAACTGCTTTTCTCTCTCTTTAGGCTCTATCATATCATTTAGTGCATACCCCATTCCCCTCTCCTCTTTTTTTTGCGTATAAACTGATGTTTTTCCAGCCACCATCAGTTCAGAGGAAGGGTCACTGGACCCGAAATGTTAAGTCTGATTATTTTTTCCTTCACAGATGCTGCCAGACCTGCGGAAGTATTCCTGCAACTTAAATTTTGTCGGGGCAGTTCTCATGGATGTTTAATATTGGGGAATACAGTTTGGATTTGGCAATCCCAATACAATTTGAAACATTCTGTTTGACAACAATTTAGGGAATATGGTTACAGTTCATGAAAGTCGCACAAAAGACAAGTACATCTGAATAAATGACCAGTACTGTTGCCCAATGCGGGATAAAAGTTTAATTCAGTTAAGTCTTAAGTTATGAATTCTGGAAGAAAGTGTAAAGAAGACATACTTTCATTCCAAATCAATAATCGATTTGATATAGATTCAAGGAGCAATCGAGGCGTACACAGTCAGGAATCATATTTCGAATGGCCTGGCACAAAAGTAAAGATCATAAATAGCAATTTATTACGAATAAATTCCTTTGAACATTTTGGAGAATATTTACTCCACCCATAAAATTGATAATTAACCATTAATGAAATCTTTAACGAGTGGGTTGGCATGTATTTGATATAAGTATCTACTCAAGGTAGGACACTTAGATGTAGATGAAATAACATTTCTGATCGCTCAGTGCAGCATGGGTTGGACATGGAGTACTGTCTTCAGTTGCTGCCTCTACTGTACATACTCCCTAATTCACCACACAGCAGTCCGTTTGTAGCCTTGTATACAACATTATTGTAGAATAACAACACTGACAGTGGTCTCACCTGAGCACATAATTCTCACATCCTCTTTATGAGAACAGTCCTCTTGGTGACCCAGTTCTGCTGAAGGACAATCCCAGAGAAATGATTCATTTCCAGAACACTTCACATCTTTCAGCCAAACTGGCCCTGAGCCCGGTCCGTAGGAGGAAGGAAATGTCATCTCCAATGTATTTCCACAACCCAGCTGTTTGCAAACCACTTCAGCGTCCATAACATCCCAGGAGTCATCACAAACCGATCCCCAGGTCCGTTTGTAGTAAAGCTCCAATCGACCAGCACAAGGGCTTCCACCATCTGATAGCCTTAAGTTGATATGTTCTGTTAGGCAATAACACAGACGATTATACTTTCGGTACCTTTTCCCTGCTTTGTTCAATTCAGCATAATATATCAATTCGGGTGAATCGAGCATTACATTTTCTTGTGAGATGTTATAAAAGCCTGAAACAGAATATCTAATAAACTTAATAGATCAAATCAACAATTTTTGCAAGAATGCACAGCAAATAAATGTTTCAAAAAATCTTATTTCATCAATATCTCAACGCTCTGCTTGACAAATTGGCTGTCATTTTATATAACTCATAGTACTAACTCAGTCCGATATAAATCCTGTCTCATTCTTCCTTCAATTCCAACATTTATTACTGAGACGTACAGCAGGATAAAACATTACAACACAGGAACATGAGTGATACCATCCCAATCTTAAAACGAAGTCCCTCAAAAATATTCTCGTTGAGTTTTCCAAGATCGGTTTGAGTGGAAGAGAGGTTTTGGAGGGAAATGATCAATATTTTGCTTCACGGAAATCATATTTTCAGCTCATGTGTTGGACCAATTACATTTGGAATGGACAAAAGGCCAGACTTACTGCAGCACAATGAGATCTGCGAGTTCTGGAAGTGCAGGTTATTAAAACACTGTAAACAATGGATTTGACTGATTTGGATGGCAATGGAATATTAGATCCATTAACTGGGAAAGAGAAGAACCTGACAACAAACGGAAAGTGATCTACTGGAACTGGGGTTGATGTCACGGTGATATAATATTGTGGGAACCAATTTGGATTTATCCACCCCAAAACAATTTCCAACATTCCGATTAACAACAAATTGTGTACTATGGTGACAGTTCAAGAAGATCGCGCAAAAGACAAGTACAAAAGAATAAATGGGCAGTTTGGGTGCCCAATGTGAGATAACATTTTAATTAAGCTACGTCTAAGGTGATAACAATGTTATGAATTTATCAGATAAATTTACTGGGATGGAATGTAGTACAATGTGTACAACAATGTGCAGATGAGTAATCGGACATGGTCCGAGTCAAGTAATGGGTAGAAGAGTAAGAGTTTCAAATGACTTCAAGTCGCCAGAGGTAATATGAGGGAAGGCAGTTGGAGGTAAATGATTAATCCAGGCAACAAGATGAGGGTCTCAGCTGTGCATCAATTGAATTAAGAGTGAAGTTCACATATCTTAAGTTGGCGCAAATAGATAACATGGACACGAAAATCTCCTCCTCGTCAAGCGTAAAAGTCAAGATTGTGAATAGTTTTCTTTTCAGATTTTCGACAGTTTGCAGAGCGAGAGGTTATGCTACAAAGCTGGAAATGGTTATGATGGAAACCAAAAAGGATGTCTGTAACTTAATAAATATCTGCTTCTGCAAACCTCGAAACATGACCAGCAATATCACACTTTTGAAATACTGAAGAGGCAAGAGAGGTGCAGGTAAAACAGAGATACAGGAAGTGAAACGTAAATGTGATGCTATATCTTAACAGAATGTAGATGAACGGCAGAACATTTATTGTAGTGAGAGGTATAGGTGTTTGGGCAATTGTAGAGGTAGAAATAACGGAATGGGAAGGCAATTTATTATTTGACTATAGCCAGATGAACCCCAATTTATCGAAACATAGTGACAGAGGGCTTCAGCACCGAAAAGGAACTTCAGCTTTCGAGTTGTTTGGGACTAAAACAAACAGCTCACTTTTCTACGCCCAATTCCCAGTGCATAAATTATCTTTGTATTCTTTGGCATCACAATTGCACTTCTAAAACTCCTAACAGTTTTGCAGGGTTTCTCCCTCTCCCACACATATATGTAGTGAGATTCCCAGCACCCTTTGGATGAAAATGAATGTTCTCACGTCCCTACTAAAACTCAACACCTTACATTAAATCTATGTGCCTTGGCCATCGATAGCTTAACCAATGGGAAAGGTTCCTTGCTGTCTGCCCTATCGATGGCAATCATAATTTTATGGATTTCAATGATGACTCAATCCTCAGTCTCCTCTGATCCAAGGAGAACAAACACAGATAATGCAAACTATCTTCATAAGTAACATTTTATAACCCATGGAAAATACTGGAAATATTCCTCTCCACTGCGACGACAACCCTCCAATATTGTGGATTCTAGAACCACGTTCACTGTTCTACCTTTGGCCGAAATAATGCTTAATATCGTTTCAGGTTGTTCTCCCTGCTCTTAAACTTAATGCCTCCTATCATAAAGGCAAGTATTTCATTTCCCCTCAACCACTTTATCTACCTATACCTCCATTGTAAAGGACTGGTGGATATGCCCATCAATTTCCCTCTGATATACGCTGCTCCCCAACGCCCTACAATTTAACATAACATAACTTCCCTTGGTCGGCATGCCGAAGTAAGTCATCTTACACTTACCTGGTTTACATTCCTTTCACCATTGACTGGCCTATCTGACCATTTATCTACATCCTTCTGTAATCTAAGGCTATTTTCCCTGACTATATAGCAGCCGACCAATTTAAGTTACATCCAGGAACTTACTGACCTACTCTCCATCATTCATTTCTAACTCATTTGAATATTTCAGTATTTTCCTGCCCAGTTATCAATCCAGCATTCTTTGGAAATTACAACTCAATCCAAATATTTCTGCCTGAATGGCATTCAATCCCATTTTCCAGCGCTGCTGTAGGAAGTCAACTAAATTAATCAGATGACCATCATTGCCTCGACGTTTCATCATTTATGTCTTCCGGATCTCCTCAGCAGCCCCTAACTACACCATCCCCTACTGACACCCAATCCTTCATACAATATGAGTGTCATTGTTTCCCATACCATCATCTCAATTCATTATTGATCAGTTGTCGTTCTGTTATCATATCCCGATCTGGTTTCAGGGAGCACCGGGTAGTGATACAACTACGCCAAAATGACAGTTGACATTTACCTGAACAGATGACACCAGCATCATTGGAATGTGGAAAGCCGTAGTGACCCCAATGCAATGATTGGCACTCCCGCAGAGCACGCTCATCGCCGCTGCACACAACACCCGTTGTAACAATCAGTCCAGATCCTTGTCCAAAGTGAGCCCCGCCAGGGGCAGAGACAGCGATCCCACAGCCCAGCTCCCGACAAACAACAGTAGCATCTGGCAGGTCCCAGTCAAAATCATACAGAGTTCCCCACAGCCCCTGATAGTGAACCTCCACTCGGCCAGCGCAAGGACTGCCTCCATTCACAACTCTCACCTTCACTGTCTCTGTTAAGGACAGAAATAGTAACCAAAGTTAACATGCAGACTCATGAAAGTTCCCATGAAAGCTCACATCCTGTTTAAACCATGCAACCGGTGCGAAGAGATGGTGAAAATTCACTCTTTCACAATATAACTTGGAAAACACATTTTATATGTTGATAGCGGAAGGGACGTTTTTATAACTGGTGTTCACTCACAGAGAGCAAGGGGCAGAGAAATATTTCCACAGGGAAAAAAAAGAAGTACTCTAAACTGCCTAATGTGAGAAGATTGTTATGACTAATACATGGGATTTGGGCATTGCTGGTGGGTCCAGCTTCTGTGCCCTGTCCCTAGTTTCCTCCCCTTGTGAAAGTGGGGGTGAACTGCCTTCTTGTACTGCTTTGCAGTCCATGTGCTGTGGGTAGACTCACAATGTCCTTAGGAAGGGAATTCCAGGATTTATACTCAGTGACACTGAATGAACATCAACGTTTTTCCAAACTAGGATGGTGAGTGGCTCGGAGGAGAAGCTGTAGTGGGTGCTATGCATTCTGTCTGCTGCCCTTGACTTTTTAGGTGGATATGGTCATGGGTTTGGAAAGTCCTGTCTGAAGATCTTCGGGTATTTTTTTTTCCGTGTGTCTCGTAAATAGTACACACTGCTGCGAACGAGCATTGATGGTGGAATGAGTGGATGATTGTGTGTGTGGTGCCAAACAAGCGAGGGCTGCTTTTTTCCTGGATGATTTCGAACATTTTGAGTGATGGTGGAGCTGCAACCATACAGACAAGTATTCAACAAACAAAGTTAACTTCTGGAAAGTTGAGAGGTGCAGGACCAGTAGCGGTCAGTTCTCCATCATGTTGTGCGCTGAGTGGCGAGTAAACTCGAAAGATCCTTGCTGGGAACATTAGAAAATGAAACGGTACTTCTGCCTATCACAGGAAGAAATATGATGGACAAAAACAGAAGTTGCTGTATACTCTCAGCAGGTCTGGCAACATCTGTGAAGAAAAAAATAGTGTTAACATAGACTGGGTGACCGGTTCACAGAGCATCTATGTTGCGCTCGCAAAAAAGACGCTAAGCTACCTGTTGCCAGTCTCTTTAACGCACCACACTGTTCCCTGGCCAACATCTCTGTCTCTGGCTTTTTGCAACGTTCCCGTGAAGCTCAACGCAAGCTGAAGAACAACATCTCATGTTCCGCTTGGGGACCCTACCACCCTTCAGACTCAATATCAAGTTCATTAATTTTAGGGCCTAAACTCTCCCATGTCCTCGCTCCCTACCCCTCACACATCAGGCCTTGTTATCACATAGCCAGGCATTACACACTATCCATTGTTAATCACAAACAGTCCCAATTGACAACTATCCACCCTCTTAGCCAGATCGTTTTGTCTCTCCAATTGCTCTTCTCTCTATTCCGGCTCTATCCTATCGTTTATTCCCTACCCCATCCCACTCCACATTTTTTGCATATAAACTGATGTTTTTCCAGCTACCACCAGTTCTGAGAAAGGGTCACCGGACCCGAAACGTCAAGTCTATTTTTTTTTCTTCACAGATGCTGCCGGACCTGCTCAGCTTTTCCAGCAGCTTTTGCTTTTGTTCCTGATTTAAAGCATTTGCCGTTCTTTCGGTATTTTTTTAAGAAATGTTATCGGATCCATGGTCAGGTCAGCGCTCACTAGTAAATGAAACAATGTGAAAGCTTTTCGGAGAGCAGAACAGCGTGTGGACTTGATCTTTCACACTCTCTCCATTCATTGCCGCTTGATCGGACAACAGTTGATCCTTCACGATCTCCGTAATGATTGTCTCTCTGTCAGAGAACAGTGATGTGAGTGGGTCATGAATCCTGACACTTTTCACTCCAGGATCCTGGAATTAGAGACCTTCAGGCGTAATGCATCCCCACTTCAGTTATGAACAAGCAGCTGATTATTACATCAATACTAACGCATGGACATTATCACCACACCTTCGTGTTTGATAGGATACAACAGAATACAGGGATTGCACTCCATGTGAACATAACATGTAATTACCTCCTCGTTCAGCCTGAGTGTCGACAACTCTCCCTGAAATAAAGACATGAGAATTAACGTGTTAAGAATCAATGCAGCACTTAGAAATAAAATAAACAGATACAATAAACACGGAGTCAGAACTGCCATTGCATTGCGAAATAAATGGTATATGGAAATGTGAAATCATCACTTCATGCAATACTTGTAAAACGTGAAACATAATTTCTTTAGAGAACAAATGTCGTCAAACTTTTTTTTCTCAAATTAACCGCATTGTTTTCACACAGGCAGACACTGCCAATACAAAGTAATGGGACTTTTGGTGAGCTTCTTTGGGATCCATCTGTTGGCAGTGTGAAGGTTTCACTAAATTACTGACTGTTCTTCTTAGTCTTGCATTATCGAATGGCTCACCAACGTTATGATCCCTGTATAAAGCATTATTTGTCAGTAGTCAAAGCAAGGCACCTCCATAAAATAAAATTCCGGGACTTAAGGTTTTTATTCAATGAACAGTACTGAAATAAAGAACGACTAACTTTACTTAGTCAGCAACGAACTCCAAAGTGTTTAATTCTTTTTAACTGTTGCATTTGGTCTCATGAACTTTGGATTTATCCTGCTCGGCTGTCTATATGGTAAAAGCATAGCAAAAGTTAGTCATTAGCAATATTCAGTAGCAAATCCCAATTTTCTCAATTCCAGGACCTGTGGGCTTACCAGGGATCAAAAAGACAGTTTAATATGTAATAGTCTAAAAACAATCTAGTGCTCAAAACAAAGGAAGGAGGTCATTCGGTCCAAGGGGCCTGTGCTGCCTCTTTCACCAAATTGCTGAATTAGTTCCATTCCCTTTCTTCATTGCCCACAAATTGTTGCTATGAGTACGCATTACCCCTGTTCAACTGCATTGGGGATGGGATGGTGATGAACCAGTTCTGTACATTTTGTACATTTTTGTACATTTCTGTACATTCATCGTTTACTGAGCTTGGCTTGTTAATGATGTTCATTGACAATATATCATATTCCGAACGCAAGTTGATGCGGAAATCGAAATAAATTTTATATTTAAATTAAGCTAAGTTTCCAATTAACTTGAACTTTGTCACATAAAATTTTGGATTTTTAGTTCCCCCCTCTGAATTATTTTCCTATCCAGTTTTTGAATTGTCTATAAACCACTAATTGGTTGTTTTCAATCTCTGAATCATTTTATTTCTATTTTCACGCATTGAGCCAATATGGGCCGTCTGTCCGTTATGTTTACAAACGGTCAATTAACCCTTGCCTTGATTCATTCAGTCCCCGCTATACAGATTCCCTGAAATACTGCATTCACCGACGTGACCGAGCCTTCTGCCAATTTGTGACGTGTGGGCAATATCCCTCTATGCTGAAACTTTATGACTATTTTTGTTTGGAATGTAGTTAGTCATGTACAATGAGCAACAAAAATCGGAGACAGTCTTGTAGGCTGGAGCGTTGGATGTGATATTTTCCTGATTCATTCAAATAAAAGTTCAGCAATTCTCCTTTCTCAGCCTGTACTATTTCCGATTTGCTCAAACCACCCACCATATCAGCTGTTCTCTCCCACATATTGCTGAATTACTGCTATGTTTGTGAGAATTTGAATCTATTTCATTATACACTGTTGCATACATGTAAAGATAATTAAAACCGTAAGAACACCGCTGATATGGTCGTAAAGAGGTGATAGGAAAGACATTAACAATGTTTTGAAGGACTGAGTAATATTGTACAAGATAAGCTGTTGACTTTAATGTGATATCTCAGACTTTATTGTTCCTTATTAACTGAACAGTTGTATAAAATTAAAAAAAAAACTACAACAGATCAGTGGCATCATTTTGAACAATGCAACTGATGCGAGCACTGTTACAAACTGAGACTACTGAAGGCTGTTAGTTGCGACTCGAGACAGAACATTATTATGAAATACTTCTGGTTCTTTTGGAACTTGTTTTGTTGTTTGAATTACTTATTATACATTTACTTTGTCACGTGAAATTTCCATTGCAGTATTGAGGAGACCAGACTTTCATTGAGGAGTGAGATGAGAGTCGGTGCGTTTACTGTACTCTACACATTTCACTCAGACAAAATCTATTTTTACGCACTTCGCTGCCTACTTCAAGTTGAAACAGTGTAACTAGCAAGGTGGTCAGAATATTTCAAGTCTGTTTCAGCGACACAAGAGTGACAGGAACAATGTTTTTGTTCTTTAATTACAGCATTAATTTTGATTTCATAATGCAATCACAATTTGACTGAACTCTCCCTAATTCAATTAGGTGTCAATCGAGACGGGGAATAAAAAGAATCAAATTACATACAACTACCAAAATGTAGAACGATTTTAATTTTTGATTGTGACTTATCGCTTAATATACATTATCTTAAAAAAGAAACGAAATGATTTGTTCACTTCTCGTTTTACATGATTTCATCAGTATTAAGGAAAAAAAGGACTGAATGGATTTCGTGCTATATCCGAGGAGCAGAACGATTTTGGGAATAAAGAATCCAATTTACAGTAAAAGAGAAAGGTTTGAGTTAAAAACTGTTTCCTGAATGTTCTTCTCCCATTTTTTTCCTTTTCTTTTTTACAAATGCATAATTTGAAAAAGTGCAGTGGTGGATTAAGAAGTCAATTATTCATAACTACATTACGATGTGAATATTGAAATGGTTAATGTAACTTGCAAGTTCATATTTCATACTCTCTTCTAATTGTTTAACCAAAAAAAATTTCAGCATACTTAAAGAAATCATTCACTATCGTGTTTTTTTTCTTAATCTGATCTGAGAATGTTGTTATTTCTAGATTAATAAATATTACATAAAACAATCCAATTTGTCTCACAGTTTTGTAGCTTGAAATCTTGCAAATAACAGAATAAAACAAGCAGTGTAGAAGAAATACACATCCACAGTAATATTACTTCTTTATCAAATCTGTTGGCTCGTATCAGTTCGTTTTCTGTCAACTGACAGTTCTATGTCTGGAATACTCATGCACCTGAACGAATAGACTCTGTCACATTATTCAATCATTTGTGGAAATCTAACTAAACACTCCTGGTCTCAAAGGTTCACAAACTAAATTCAAGCCTTTCTTCAAATGTTCTGAACAACATCTTTTCCTTTGAAAATTTGTTCTTGCACCAGCCCACAGCCAGGCCTTCTTCCAATGAATCCAAGAGTTTTCAATTAAATTACATCCAACGACTTCATGACGTCTCTCTCTCGTCGTCAACCCGACAATACATACCGATTCACTAAACTACATCAAAGCAAATTAGACACCAGACCAAAGGCAAAATAATGTGAAGGTTGGAAATATGAAACAAACACAGAGAACGCTGTAGAAACAAACAGTCCTAGCATCATATGAGGAGAGTGAAGCAGCTGTGTTCTTCAGTTCTGATGAGTAGTCATACCAGACTCGAAATTTTAGCTATTATTCTCTCTTCTTAGACGCTTCCAGACGTTCTGAGTTTCTCTAATATACTCTGTTTTGTTTAAAACATGACGCTGTATTCTAATTCTACAAAATTGAGAAAACAAGATATACAATCTGAACTGAGTTTTTCATCCTTTCGATACAAGTGGAGAGCAGATGCTGAATATTCTGCTTCATTCAAATTCTGACTCCAAAACATTGCTCACTGTCAGCAGTACACAGTCCAGGTCTATGAAGGAATATTCGCTGCTTGCAATGTTGCATTGAACTGCAACGTACTTTCAGATGCTAGACGTAATTTCGGGCAAAACAATTGACTTGATTCACATCCCGTCCATTAACTTAACAATTTAAAACATTTACCATCAATGTCCAGCCACCAGAAGTGGCACCAGCAGAGTTAACTGCAACAATTCAGTAAAACTCCTTCACACAACCTAACAAAACTACTCGCACACCATCTATAAAGGTGCACAGAATATAGAAACAGCATCACTTCGAAGTCCCCATCCTGATTGGAATGACCTTGTTGTTCCTTGACTGATGCTTGATCATGATTCTGTAATTACATTCCTCACGTATTATGTTATACCCAGACTCAATTGTATGCAGTGTTTCATGAATTCAGATTACTGCTGCTCGTCTGCATTTTCAGTAAGCCACACATTCCCATGCTTTTGAACAAATAGACAACAAAGAGTCGGGGGAATAATTTCGTAATATTAATTGTCACCGAACTCATTTTTCATTGAGAATAAATCAAGCAAAATATTCATTCTGCATATTTCAGTGTTACAGTTTTCGAAGAGTTTATTTGAAGAAAATTATGTCATTAACCAATATCCATAGAAACATATCAGTTCTGCATCAATGTGTCTATAGAAATCGTAAATGTAGGACAAGAGACTTAATTTAAATGGTTCTATAAATTATATCACACAATGTGCAAATGACCCACGTTATAAGTACAATCTGCGAGAATTATCCGCGTGTGAGTTTAAGTTCAAATGGTGCTGGACACAATATTAACTGGTGTTTTACAGACAGCGAGTTCACTGTTACCCCACGATCCGGTGCACCTGAATTTAACAGAAAATCCTTCCAGCTGTTTAGATTTTCTTAACAAGATGTAAAATTGCTTTCTTGTTTGCTTGCCTTAAGTGATAACACTGTAGCAAATAAAAGTAATGAAAATAAGATGAAATGAGCAAACTGCCTCGATATTTCCATTCAAATCATCTCCGCAACTAAGTTTGGCACAACACTCCCCAAGACCAGAAAACAAGTTTGAAATTCATTTAAATTTTTGAAGCACTATCACCACCAGCAAAATTATAGTGTTTTCATCCCTGTCTCAGTAAGCAGCAATCTTGCTGCCGACTCTGAAAGACAATTGTTCTAATGGATTTCTAGAGCTTTGGGCATCAAATCAATGCTGAATGAACAGTGCGATGCTAACGGTAGTTTACACGCATATTTTAGTGTCCTCGAGACACTGCAGAAAACGTAGATCCTGTCGGGCTGTTCCCTGAGCGGACTGCCTCAGTCATTTGGGAGAATG